TTTCAGTCATAAACCATCCATTCGTCTCTTGATTTTCTTCCACTTATCCAGGGTCGTGTTGCGGGGGCAGCAGGTGAAGCATGTTATTTCAGATGTCCCTTTCCCCAGCAACGCTTTCCAGTTGCCCCCTAAAGCGCTTAGAATACCACAAAGGTAGAAAAGCGCTATATAAATGCAAACTATTTACCGGGGGAATCCTGGGACGTTCCCAGGACAGATGAGATATATAATCCTTCCAGCAAATTTTGGGTCCACCCCAGGGTCTCCCCGGAGTTGGACATGGCCGAAAAACCTCCAAGGGAAGTCACCGAAGAGGTATCCAAATCAGAAATCCAAACAACCCCAACTGGTTCCTTTTGACACAAAGAAGCAGCAACTCTGCTGCAAACTCTTGATGTCCAAGCTCCTCACCCTGTTTCTAAGGCTGAACCCAGCTATCCTATGGAGGAAACTAATTCCAGCCACTTGTATTACCGACCTCATTATTTCTGAAGAAGGTCACTTTTTTCAGTACATAACAAACTTTGGTATGGCCATGAATAATTTGGGCCTTAACTGTATCCTTGACACTTTCACATTGGGCTTTACTAGAACTTACTATGGCAGCCAACGAGAAACAAACTCATTTTGACTGGTGGATGATGATGGACCAAATGGGACTTTATATTGTTTGTACCATGAATTGATTTCTGTAAAGGAGAGACACAGAGATAGTCTGTGGTCTGCAGAAGACCACCGCACAGCAGTACAGCCTGTTCCAAAGTCCCAAACTAGCAATCAGTCCAACCAGAATTGTCAGAATTGTCAGACAGAGATCCAAAACGCAGAAGTAGTTACAAGACTAAAGCCAAGACAGGCGACATACAAAGACACGCGCGATATGAAACAGGCAGGAGCACAAACAACGATGAGCGGAGAGCATGGTAAAGCTGACTGGTATAGATGAAGAGTTCATTTGCTAAAACAGATGACTCCATTTTTGTAGATTGTCAGAAAACTTAGTTTTTTGTTGTTTGCTTGAAATCAATCAAACTGAAGTTGAGTGGATATGACTCAGTAAAATGACATGACAAGAATAGAGATAACTTAAGATTGATTAGTATTGTCGGGCTCGGTGGTTAGCACCGTTGCCTCGCAGCAAGAAGGTCACCGGTTTGCATCCCGGTGAGGACACCTGGGATCTTTCTGCGTGGAGTTTGCATGCAGAGTGGGTTCTCTCTGGGTTCTCCAGCTTTCTCCCACAAATCCGAAAACATGTTGAGGTTAATTGGTGATTCTAAATTGTCCATAGGTGTGAATGTGAGTGTGCTTGGTTGTCTGTCTCTAAGTGGTTGGATGATATTGTCTCAGGTAGACGATGGAACAGTGGGTTTTCTGAAGGTTTGTGAAATGGAGTTATCTGTTTTTGCAAATGAGCTCTTCATATACAGAGTGCAAATGAGCTGATGAGTCCCAGAGCAGGAGGGGAGAAGAGTCAGGAAGCACGTGTGACAGAACCTGAAAGCACATGGTTGTCATTTCTTTAGAAAGTAGTGAAAAACATAATGGTCTAACTAACAACTGATTTTCAGACTAAAGATATAAGCTCCCATATATAATCAGGTCTCTACAAACACAGCTCCATATCCTTCAGTATCACAGCATGACCAGCTTAGAAACAGATCTGTTTGTAGGTGTATGAAGTAGATTAATACCAAGAGTTTTTCAGTTTCAGTTTTGCTCATTACATGCTATATTGTTTGCAGCAGTGGTATTAGTACATGAACGGATTTAGTCACGTAGCAGAAAAAATATAACACATCAGACAGCCTAAAAATGAAAACACAATTCATACTCAGTGGTGATGATGTCAGTGACAGTTTGGTGATTGTGTCAGTTGTCAGATTGTTCACTTAACTCACTGTAAAGATGTGTCTGTCCTTACGAGTGTCAGTGTGTACTGAGACACTATAGATACAAATGGTAACAGTAATAAAACAGTGTCTCTCTGCAGTAGATGTACTGACCTGTATAATTAGGGTGCTATATTGTTGTCCTTTGGGACTTCAAGGGGCTTCAGGTGAACTGTTTTTTTTTCTTCAGATGTATTTAATAAGTTGTTTGATTCAAATTATAAAAAGGTGCATGGAATTTGTGGTGCAACATTAAAAACCAACA